TGGAAGCAAGCTCTTCCAAAAGAAACTTTTATTAGGAGAAGCTGATAGCAGGCATACTAGACAGGATCTGAGGTTTTCCCGCGTAGATCAATAGGTTAAAGTATCCCCAAACGCCACCCCATAGTTCATCCGGACGGTTCACACCGGCCAATCCCCAGGTGTTAAGTCCATCGTGGGAAAGGGGAGATAACATCAGGCCGGCTCTGGTTGTAACAGTGATGTTTAGGCAATTTTGCACCTTCTCTTGAGAGCGGAGAGATAAACCAGTTGCTGGAGGCTGCATTCCTTTCTTCCTCCCCCTTTGCTAGTTGACAGTTGTAGGAGAGGAAAGTACAGAGAGAAATAATGCAGGAAAGCGAAGTGTTACATTGTAGTGATAGAGGAAGCTAAGGCAATAAACCCGCGATCATTCCCCCCTCCCCTCCAGGAGTATGGCAGAACCCAGGGAGAGAAGAGAATGGAATTTGGGTCAGAGAAAGAAGAGCAAGGGAAGTATGAAATCAGATAGATATGGGTTCTGACACTAGTTTTGGATACCTCATTTTCCCTCTCCCCAAGTATCAGTTGTTTTTAGTCTTATTCTGACACCATTTCTGTGTTGCTTCTAGGGCCAAATTCAGAGGAGCTGGACTCTGATGACTTAGAAGAAGAAGAAGATTTTGAATTTTTAGACAGTGATGAAGAGCCTGATTTAAAAGCTGATTCTCAAGGAGATACAGCATCTTGGAATGAAACAACCAAAAATCTCCAAACATACATGAATGAAATGGATCATGAATTATCCTCCACCACTATTGGCAAAAGCTTTACCAATCAGAAGAAAGAGGTACGTTTAACTTAGACCACCTTTCTGGTGACTTAAGAGGAAGGAATGGCTGCCAGGGTTATTTTTTTTTCCTATAAGTCAGCTACAATATGAAATTAGATAGCATTTCATAAGGGTTTTTTTTCAATGTAAACGACATCTGAGTCCAGTGTTAACAGAAATATCTTATATTTTCTCTGTCATTATTTAACATAGGTGAGATCTAGTAAAGTATTTCCACATGAAGACCCTAACACAGATTTGGAAGGCAGTCAGAGTAAAGATGATCCTGATACAACACCTGTGGACATTGATGTGAACCTTGTAACTAACTTGTTGGAATCCTATAATGCTCAAGTTGGCTTACCAGGACCTGCTTCTAACATTCTACAGAGCATGGGAGTATATTTGCCAGATAATACAGACCACAGACCTCATTAGCAATTCATTGATGCAATAAATTGGTTTTCTCGCTTAAAAGCTACATTGCTAAAACCTTTTTAATTAAGTTCTCAGAAGATGCTTTTGCAGATGGATTTGAATCATTTGGAGTATCCTTGCCAACTACTTAACCATCTTGTGGAATCTGTTTTCCGAAACAATAATTGTAAAGCGCCGAGAAAATGGACTCTTGCAAATATTTTTATAATCCTTTTTAGATTCATTAAAATACTTGGGATTTTCTTGCAAATATCTTGAATTTTTTTTAAAAAAAGACACTTTATCTACAATGTTTAATAAACATTAAACAACTTTCCAGCGATCGGAATATGTTGAAGTAATATATAGTGTGAGATACATATTATGAGATATATATTAAAATGAAGCGATATAGCAAAACAAGTATAAACATAAACAATTTAACACAGAGAGAAGCAAATGCATGTTTTAAATGTCTGAAACACAATGCTCAGCATTCAGAAAGGAAAGGCATTAAATATATTACAGATGTCTCCAAATCAGCAGGAGGAGAATATTCCGAATAGCACCATCAGGAAGAGAATCCCTTGTAGATCTTAGTGGCTGGTACTAATTTGATTAATACTAATTTGATAGGTTTGAGGAGACAAGGTTATTGTTTATAAAACAATGAGGCAGTAAAACTGAACAAAGATTTTTCTTTCAATGTCTAAATACAGGTGAGTGACACAGTAACAGTAATAGGCGACTGGCCAAAAAAAGGTGTGCTCTTTAATAAGCATTTTTGTTTCTCAACTTCAAAGCTGAAACTGAATTTACATGCCAACATTTAGGTTACAGTTTGCATAAAGTTCAGGCCCACTCTACTAAAGTTTCCAAGTTAGATGCTGCATAAATTCTGCCATGAATCCAATTGTTGTGCAAGTAATTTATTTTCAAATATTACACTTTGCCAAAGGATTTTGTAAACTCTTCAGATGACAAAGTTCAGACAAAATCCAAAACGGCTTTTTAAAATATTTATTGTTTTATCATAAAAAGTAAAATACAAAACAGAAAAACTGCCCCTAAAAAGAAAACAAGAATAAGCCTCTTCCAAAAGTCTTGCCAAGAAAACTGCAGGGAGTTGTCCATGCTGTTGCCTGAAGTCAACACTGAATAAAGAAAAATTTCATTGAAGCAATCTAATGGATTATATTAAATGGAACTCTGAAACACAACTAGAGAAAAATGAGTGGGTCTGTTGATTATATACCTGGCTCCCTGCTATGTATCAACAGCCCTGCCTGAGCTGGCCGACGTAATAGCCGGGGTGGCGGTTGCGACCCCCAGACTTATGGTCATGGGGGATTTCAACCTGCCATCGGTGGGCGAGGCGTCGGCGGCAGCTCAGGAGTTCTTGGCTTCCATGACGGCCTTGGACTTGACCCAG